GCCAGTAGTCCCAGTTGCTCTGCTTCCCAGGCAGCTTCCTGTTTACGGCCCGAGGAAGCAGAGGAGCATGGCTCCAGTCCTTGGGCCCCTGCACCTGCATGAGAGACATGGAGGAAGCTCCTGGCTCCTGACTTCAGGTGGTCTCAGCTCTGGCCATTGTGACCATTTGGGGAGTGAGCCAGTGGATGGAAGCTCTCTCTGTCTCTCTCTCTCTCCTCCTCTCTGTAAGTTTGCCTTTCAAATAAAAATAAATCTTTATAAAAAAGATGAGTGTGTACATGGCATAACCGGAGACTCTTGGCCGATCCATTTAATGGATTGAATGAGATGGTGGATGTGAAAATTATTGATAAATTGCAAAGCACGGTACAGTGGAAGGTGTTTAGACAATTGTGAGCCTGAAGCACCAGGCATGTCACAGCTCCTTGCAGCTACGGTCTATTCTCCCCTAGTTCTAGCTTCATGTCTTCATTTGCTTTAAAAAATGAAGCCCTAATAATAACAACTACAGCAAACGTTAGTCTGAATAAGCTTCCTGTTTAAATCAAACATTGAAAAGGTCAGTTTTTCTAGAAATAAATTACCTTGGGAAGGAAATAATGTCACTAAATTGAACCCTGCAGAATGTGAAAATGAATTGCAGTTGATGTCTACAAAGGTTCCTCTACACATAAATACCGCACGCATGGGAACTGCCACAAAATGTCGTGATGTCGTGGCCGGCCCCCTTAATCCACGCAGGAATGCCTTGTCTGAAGCAGACGGGACGTCCTTGAATTCATGAACGTAATCATTACAGGGTGAATTTCATAAAGGCATATCTCCTTAAAACACTAACATTACCTAAAGGACATGTTAATGAGTTAAAATGATGTTCATTCCATAAATTGAAATACACACAAATGCAACAATGCAATTTGGGTTTTCTTTATCTGTGCTCCATGCTGTTTTGTGCACAGCTTCCTCCATGTTTATCTTGCGGTCCTGTGCCGCTATTTTGCCACTAGTGGACGGTAATACATTACCTGAACTTCCCGCTCTTAGTTTATCTGCGACCTGTGGTCACAGTTACCTCAAAAGTCATTCTCGTTAACCCAAGAATTGATTTAACCAGAAACCAAATACAATTCAAGCTTAGTGGTTCCTCCTTTGTCTTTAGAAAAATCCAGGAAGATGCCCAATGGCGTTGCTAACGTGCGTCGGAAAGCTGCTCCAGGGATGACTCACATCAAGGTCAGGGATTTCTCACTGTGCTCACCTCCTCCACTCGACAGCCTGGATTGGCACAGTCATCCACTCACACTCGTCCTTCCCCGAGATCCGCCTGAAGGGAGCTCCAGGCAAGGCAGTCTAGCAACGCGTGAAGCCACGGTGGTATGTCTGTGCTTCTGGGAGTCACCACCTTGGCGTCCTTTGATTAACTCAGTTGTGAGAAATGTTAAAACACAAACTGCATTTTACTGCAGGAGGTTTCCACACTCTGTGAAGAATGGCAAATCAGAGCTCGCCCTAGGGACCAGCTGCTTAGAGTTGATCTGAGCCATTACGTGGGCGCCCCCCCATGCACAGGTGCAGGTCTGACTTCATGCCTCAGCATTTTCTCTGCATTCATTCCTGGTAAGGGCAGAAGGTCCAAGGCTCTGGGCACTTTTTTGGGTATAGAGTTGTGCTGATAACATTGTGTTGGGCAGAATGTTTTTACAAAGAGCTGCTAATTTTAGGGTAGCAGAAGAATATCTGTAAGCATTGGAAAACAAGGTATACAGGGTGAACTCTTGAATGGCATTTGGGAATCTGGGCCCCAGGTCTTAGTTCTCCTAACGAGCCCTGTTACTCTGGGCAAGTCCCTTGCCCTGGCCTGTAGCATAAGGGAGATGTGTCTCTAGAATTCTCTATGTGGACTGCCTTGCCTCGGGGTGAACTCAGAAAGTATCTGTTGCCTTTGAAAAAGTTTCTTGCTGTACATTGGATGCCACGATGCACTTCAACCCGTGTACAGTTTGTGTCTGTGACAGTTAAAATATTAAGTGAACAAACAAACAAGAAGCCATGCTGTCCATGTCCACCCCAAAGGCTCTCTTACACACAGGAAGTTTTGGGCATTTGGTGCTATGGTTAGGACATTGCTCAGAATGCCCACATCCCATACCAGAGTGCTTGGGTTCAAGTCCCAACTCCGCTTCTTGCTAACGTATACCCTGGGATATGATGGCTGTAGTGATTGGGTCCCTGCTGTCCCCAACTGGAAGACCCAGTGAGAGATGGGCTGAGTTCACTGCTCCCAGGTTCTGAGTGCATCAGCTCTGAGTGGGGTGGGCATGTGGGGGATGGATCAGTGGATGGGAGAACTCTATCTCTCAGTATTTCAAAGAAATCAAATAATTAAAAAAATTTATGTTAGTGGGAGATAGAATTAATCAATTTATTTTGGCACAACTTTTTTTTGAAATCTATGCATAAAATGGGCTTTTAAAAAGTTCATAGAAAATGAATATTTTATGAGAAAACCAGGCATGGGTTAAAAAAAAAAATTTCTGCACCAAAAATGAACACAGTTGTAAAGCCCATTCTTCCATTCTTGAAGTATCCCTGCATAAAGCCTGATGGGGCAGGAACACAGATCTAGCGCATTCCGTGGTTTCAGTTCCCCACGTGCACCAATTAAACTTCCCAAGCTCCTGCTGTCTTGTTAACCTGGCTTCAGCTGTCCGTCTTCCCTAACCAGCTCAGCCTCGCCTCAGGTGTTAGCCGCTGGAAGCAACCTTCAGAGCCAGTTCAGCCCTGCCTAATGTTCACCCACTCTCGGCCCTTAGCTGCCCTAACTGCACACATCCCTCTGGAAGCTAACCGTGTGCTTGTCTGTCCTGTGCCCTTCTCTCTCTGAGGTTTGTCTCTGGCCGGAGCCCAGGGTCTGTCTTTTCCTTGTCTTGTTCCTGCACGCTTAACAGAGCCTTCATTTTGTTTTTTTTGTTTTTTTTCACAGTGCTTCCACATAGCGGGCACTCAACACTCACCTGCCTGAAATGATCTCATTGGCTGCTTGATCAAGCACATCTGACTTGCTACTACAGAAGCAGCCTCAGAGACAGGGGAGGAGGCCTGCCCAGGAGTCAGACAGCAGCCTCAGAGACAGGGGAGGAGGCCTGCCCAGGAGTCAGACAGCACTCCCCGACGGCGACAGCGGAGCTGGGTAAGTCTCTTGCTTCCCCAAGGTTTTGCTCCCCCCACCCCCAAACCCTGAGGGCTGAATTGGGCCCTGATTTCTCCTCGGGAGGGATACTCCCAACTGCGGTCCTGTGATGACTGTGCTAAATATCAAACGTGTATGAGGGCCTGTGCAAGGAATAAAGGCAAGACAAGGAGTGCAGAGGCCCTGGCTTGTTAGAGGAATTGAGACATGCAGATTTGCTTTTCATGTTTGCCACGTAAGACTCTTTATGAGCATCTGCGGGGCTGGTTTTCCCTTGGCTGTTACTGGTGCATGGAAGCAGGTCACTGACCCAGCTGTGTTTGCTGCCACCCTGGCTGGCGTGGGGTGATCACCCAGGGTGGTGAGGTCCACCAGCTTGCAAGTCTATGGGACTGTCCATGGCATTTAACTTGCTCAGTTGTGATGATTCTGAGAACTTTCTTATAACTTTCGTAGAGACCGTTGAGTCCATCATGTTGTGGGTTCATTTGTGAAAAACGACCGCACGCCTTAACTTACTTGAATAGCTACTACAAAGATAAGGGAAAAAATAAAGAAAAATAAAATGTAAGAAAAACCAAGAAAGAACAAGTGTTGCTGATGTTGGAGAGAAACTGGAACTTCCTGTGAATTGTTAGTGGGAATGGAAAAAAAATTAGAATTACCATACGATCTAGCAATCTCATTTCTGGATTTTTAGATTTTCAAGGAGATAAGCGTATGCTCATGTTCATTGCTGTATTATTTACACTAGCCAAAAGGTGGACACAAACCCAAATTTGTCAGAGAAAACACTGTAAGAAGGTATTTGAAATAGTTCCTGGAGGGGTAGGCATTTGGCCTTGTGCGTAAGTTGCTGATGAAGATGTCTGTGTCCCCTATCAGAGCATCTATGCTCGACACCTGACTGCTTCTATCTCTAGACTGCTGTTAATACAGGCCCTGGGAGGCAGTCATGGCTCTAGTGATTGGGTTCCTGCTATCCATAAGGCAGGCCTGGAGTGAATCCCTTGCTCCAGGTTCCTGACTTCGAGCAGCTGTGGGCAGGGCGGAGTGGGGTGGGATGGGGTGGGATGGGGTGGCTGGGGCGGGGAGTGAAATAGTGAATACGAGTTGTTGTTTTTTTTCTTTTTGTTTCCGCTTCTTAAATAAGCAAATGTTTGAAAAAAGCTTGTGGAAAATGGAACTTAAAAGTAAATTGATTTGGGTGCAGAAATGTTTTGGAATTCATGCACAGCTTCTTCATAATATGCATTTCCGTGAACTTGTAAAATTATCTTTGAACATAAAATGCAATATTGTTTAGCCTGGAAAGACTATCGTGTCATATAGACGGCATGGGTGGATCTTGCGGATATTAGGTGCAAGCAAAATAAGTCGGTGATAAGGACAAATACCGTGCAATTCTGTAACAGGAGGGGTCTAATGTAGACAGAAGGCTATAGAAGGCAAGAAGAATGGTGTTGCCAGGAGCTGGGGGACGGCGTGTTCAGTAAGTTCGGAATCCCAGTTTTGCAAGGTGAAAGACTTTTAGAAAGCTAGATATATGTAGTTAATACTGAACCTGGTGCTATAATATACTAAAGAGGTTAAGTTGTGTGATGTGTTTCTTGCAGTGTGCAACACAGGATTCGGAGAATAACCCAGTGGAAATAAGTTACTACTAACCTTTGTGCTTTGCCATATTAGGATGTTCCTAACTTCTTCAGACCAGGGTCATGCAGCTGTTAGTAAGACGCGCTGGTTCTTTCCAGCATTTCTAAGAAAGGGAAGTTTTCAGTTACATGCATGAAGAAAGAGACATGTAGTCAAGGGAGGGTGGCCAGCAAGACTGTAATTAAGCTCAGAAGGGAAGTCTTCCACAAAGGGTCCAGATGGATGGACGGGGGCCACGAAACAGAGCCGGATGGCTGGGCTGATGCTTCGAGGGACCTGTGGGGCTCCCTTAGCCAGGATCGTCTTCCAGGTCGTCACCGCTCGTTTCCTCTAGGCCTTATGACCCTGCATCTTGTGGGGAACTTACGGTTGCCCGAGGGATGCAATATTCTTGTGTAGGATCAACAGTCTGAAAGGAAAGAAACACCACCATCAACTTTCTGAGCCAGCATAGATCATATTTTCCAGAGCTGTGTCTTGAAATGTTATCTCACCGTCATTTAATTCTCTCTTAATTAAAAAGAGCAAGGGGAGAGAAAAAGCCAAGCCTACCCTCCGATAGGTTTGCAAGGTTTTTGAATCACTCATCAGTGGAAATTGAAACTCATCCAGGAAAATCTTGAGGGAAGAGTCCAGATGTTTCTTAGCACGTACATGCCTTTGTGAGCTTCTCCCAGAAAATGTCATGATCTGTGTGTCATTTTAGGAAAGTGCTAAGTCTCTGGTAACAGACTCGGGGGATTAGCTTAGGTAGTAAAATTTACTGGAGAGAGGGCCTGAGCATGACTTTAACTCTTGGATTTTAGTTGCTTTTAATCACCATAATAAAAGAATTATGTCCCCTTGTGGTATTTTGGGCTGTCCAGATATGCATGTGTGGAAGCCATCACAGTACAAATGGGAGTGGTCTGCAGTATTCTTAAGCAGTTGCCCCTCTGATTGGTCCTGAGAGTGTTGCAAATGGTTCATGCATCTGGGCAGTTAGATGATGCTGAAGAACTCAGCCTAGTTCTTGGAGGGGTAGCCAGGGCTGCTGGAGCCAGACAGGGAGGTGTCAGGCAGTTGGTAGGGGGCTCAGGGACTGGGCACTGATACCCGTTTACAGTCTGCCGTGGTGGGCAAGGCAAAGCCCTGTGAGTCCAAACTGTTTCCTCCTTACACAGAGCCCTCCGAGCTGCCCTGTCTTTGCGGGCTCCTTCACCTGCGTGAGAGCGTATCTCTTGTGTTGAAGGCGGTGGGGGATGTTGGGAGGCAAAAGCTGCACTTGATTCTCTTGCATCACCTTGCTTAAATCTGGATGGCTCCAGGTCTATAGGTCTTTAGGGGAAGGTCCTGCCCTGCCTATCCTCTCTTGGGCCAGGAGAACCATGGGAGAAGAAGCCCAGGAGCTCTCCCAAGGAAGGAGGGCTGGCTGTGTCCCTGCTGGGGGAGGGCAGACGAGCGCATTTACCTGCAGCTGAATGGGAGTACCATATGAAGTTAATGCTACATCCTCCTCAGCTCCATCACTGTCTCGGGCTGAAAGCCAAAGGAGGGAAGCGCTGGGTTAGTGTCAGAGATTGACGTGGAGAAGCACAGGGGGACGGTGAGACAACTCAGTGCCATACAAAGTGCCTCCTGACCCTTCAACAAGAATTCTCAGATGAGGCTGGTATGAAGAAGGGTGATGACTTAAGGGAGCGTGCTCAAGGTTAATGGGCAAGCTTGCCTATGGGTAGCATATGTGTGTTCAGGAGAAACATCTCTGAGTTCAGCAATGGGAGATGCTGAAGATCCATCACTTTCTGGACAAAGAGTGTTTAACCCTGGGTCAAGGTATCTTCTCAGTGTAACCCAAATGACCCTGGGCACCCCACTCATTTCTATAGATCCTTTAGGCTCGAGTCCCCACCTGCTTGGATTCAAGTTTTAAGAGCAGATATAATGAAAACAAAATCCCTGGAGACAATTGTCTGCTTTCTCAGAATAATGATGAGCTGAATTTTTGGTCTAGCTCTTGTCCTTGGGATAACAAGACTCCTTCTTGGTAGCCAGCTTTCTCCAGTATTCTCATCAGACTAACCCAAAGTCATGCATACGATTGGGTTTCATCCGTATCCTCCAGCAGACTTCAAGATGGATGGGCAGGGACTGTGTCTGTCTCTAACATTGAACAGCTGCTGGATGTGTCATTGTTCTTTGCTGATCATGGCCATGACTGTGTCCTAGGGTTTATACTTGGAGAGGAGGGACCATGAAGAAAGCCACTGCCCCTCACTCGTATTAACAAGGCCCAAGTGTGCTAACCTTTTGTTGCCTGCTTCTGATGAGATTGAAATAAATTATTATAAAAGTCGTGATAATCTATTTCTGAGAGTTGTTTTGGAGATGAAATCAATATATTTATATGGACTGGTTGAACAACATCAGAGCAGTGCCTAATATATGGACAATACCATATGTACTGTCTTGTATATATGACGGACGGTAGTACTGTTGATGTAGTGACCATCTACTGCTTGGATCCTTTTCCTTCTGGAATGTTATGGAGGGGTTGGATGCTGTGAGAGGAGGCCCTTCTCTTTCCTTCAGGGCAAAAATAGCTGTTTTGGGTTTAGCTGTCCTCCATAACATAATAAGACTTTTACACTCAGTCCCTTGGTAGCTTCATTTCATATTCTCATTGGACCAGTTCATCAGTTATAAGTCAATGCTTCCAGTTTTAATTATTATCCATAAACTTACTAAAAGGCTGGAAGTTTTTCTGTATCAAACTGGCAACATCCTCATGGTGGGAAACCTGCGCCAAGGGAGCCCCGGTATTTGTTTGCCTGCAGAGGAGGCAGGGAGGGCCCTGTCTTCATCCAGTAAAGACAAGGAAGCTGGGGGCTCCTGGAGGTTGGGGCCCTTGCTTTGGGCTTAAGATGGGTTCCCAAGCAGAGCAGCACCCCTAAGCCCCATTCTGAGGCCCCATTCTGCATCCTCGTCTGCCCAATTAGCCTTGGGCCCTGAGTCTTGATACACAGCACGATCTGTGTCTTATCTATCCTGGACCAACCAAATGCTGCCCTTGACTCTGTGCTTTGTTACCAGCTCTCACTCTGTGACAAAAAAGAACAAGCTTCCCACGAAAGAACAAACAGAAATGCCAGCACTTGGGATCATTGCAGTGTGCTGGCCCTGGGAAGGTGGGCATGCCTTGGAGACAAACATATTGAGAATTGTTAAGGAGGACCCTACTCTGTCAAAACTGGTGTTTACTAGGGAGTAGCTTTCATTGCTTTGCTTGCTTTTTTTTTTTTAAATACTCATTGGCTCATATTTATATTATACAGAGTCCTAAAACCTTCAAGAAGAACCATGCTAGGCTTGTTTACACGTTGCACTCTGGATGGAAGAGTTCCAACAGTAATGTGATAGTTTGAATGAGGCTGGGTCCTGCTTAGAAAACTTGATACAATAATGTTCTAACTAACCTAAAATGGATGAAACAGGCAGTGATGGAAGGGGAGCTTTCATAAGAAAGAGCCACAGTTTATATTCTACTATAATCAATAACCTGCACAGGTAACATCACTTAACATTCTCAATTCAAAGAGCACTGATTTTATTTATTGAAGGTTAGCTGTTCTGTGTTGAAAAAATTCCAAAATGTACTAACTGTAAACATTAAACAAGTAAAATATCCATCAACTAATTAATTAATGAAGGATATGTTTAGAATAACATCCTACATGCATGTAAATGAACTAATTAAGCATTAACCTGATTTCAGAATTGCTTCTTCACTTTATTGCATTTTAATAGCTTCATTTGTATGCTGCACAAATTGCTATTTTTTGAAAAGATTTATTTATTTGAACTTCAGAGTTTGAGGAAGAGAGAGATGTTTTCCATCTGCTGGTTCATTCCTCAAATGGCCATAATGGTCCAGCTGTACCAGGCCAGATCGCGTGCCATTAGCTTCATTTGGCTCTCCTGTGGTTGGCCAGGGCCCAAACACTTGGACCATTTTCCATGACTCTCAGACCAGCAGAGAGCTGGATGAGAACGGGAGCAGCCAGGACTTGAAGCAGAGCTCATATGGAATACTGGTGCTGCAGATGGTAGCTTTACCCACTGTGTCACGCTGCTGGCCCCTGTAAATTAATTGCTCTGCTCTTACGTGTCTTCGTGTTGAGGTTTTCTGAACCTATCAATATGCTGAACTGTACAGCTTGAATCACATCCCGTGACAGCACATGTCTCTGCTTTTTGGCTTGAGAGCATGGTTATCAGCAACTGATTTTAAAGTTCAGTAGGGATCAGTGTTGTGGCACAGTGAGTCAAACTGCCATCTGTGGTCCTGGCACCCCCAGGAGCTGCTGTTTGAGTCTTGGCTGCTCCAAGTCTGACCCAGCTCCCTGGTAAAAACAGTGAAAGATGGCCTCAGAGCTTGCATCCCTGTCCCTCACGTGGGGGATCTGGATGGAATTCCAGGCCCTTGGCTTCAGCCCAGCCCAGCCATGGGGAGAGGTAAACCAGCTGAGAACACATGTCTTTCTCTGTTCTCCTTTCTCTGTCACTCTGCTTTTAAAATAAATTAATTCCCCCTCCCCCCCTTTTTTTTTTTCCAAAAAGAAAAGCTCAATGAGTATACAGCTTCTTAGAGACTTACAGACCAGGGCAAGGGATATTTATGCTTGCTGTCCTGTAGTGACATGCCCCATTGCATTTTCATTCTCCAGCCACATGTGTTTATATCTCAGCATTAAGGTCCTTAAGCCACTTCAGAGAGATCAGCTTAATCTGCTTTTGAAAGACTTCCAGGGGAATGGATCCTTAATCCCCTTCCCTGATCTGTAGCAATGAGTGTTTACCAACTCTTAGTTCCATATTTAATCTAAATCCCTCAGGCCTTGGGTTTGAACTATTTCCATCTATTCTCTTAACTGGAGATGGAAAATGGCAAGCCCACAGCCTCTTGGGAGGAAGTTCCCACACTCACTCAAGCCTTTACTGAGCACTTCTAGCCATAACTCTTCTTTTCAGCTGCATGATTCTGGGTTTATCACCAAGTGGTAAATCACATAATTACCCAGTGGAAGTTCCCAACAAGCAGCTATAGTCAGAGGAATCACATGACAATGCCCCATGGAGTCAAACAAAATCTTGTGATTGAATCCAGAACTCAGAGCGAGAACTTGCATAGCCTGAGAAAGGCACAGCAAACATAATGAATACTATCGCAATTTCATTGTCTCGATCTGTTCATGAGGTGCTCGCGTTAGAGCCCTTCATCTTTTAGTTTTCCTCTGAGTCTTCCCAAGTTCCTTCCCATTTTCTTTTTCCCTACAAGTGGATTCTCCACCTGGAATTAGCATTCTTGCTGGTATGATGGTTCTTGCCAGTCATACTTTTGTTGATTTTCACTGTCGACTCAGGACTCACAATAACACGATTTTTTCAGATGCTTATACAATATTTGGGGAGTATTTTGCTGTTTTGCATACCTTTGCATGTTTTTCTTTGCTGGGCCTAATCTTGAGTGTTTCATGGAGTTTTAATCATTCTAACACTGAACATTCATGTGTTTTCCAGGTGATCTAAAATTCTGATTCTATAATCTGATCTTGAGTTTCTGGTACTCTTCTCAACCTTGGAGAGCAATCTATATGTTTTATTATACTATTGATTTCTTTTCCCACAAAATACCCAACGATGTTAGCAATGACTATTCTTGACAGACTATTTTCTGCTCAGAAATGAATTTTCTAACCCTGTTTGCATAATAGGATATTCTTGGCCAAACTGAGAAATAATTATATAGCAAGCCCCTGCTGTTTTAATTAATAGATACTTAGAACACTTGAAATATTTGGCTAGTATTTGGAGAGTATGGGATATTGAGACTATGGATCCTGGTATGTTTTGGTGACTATGAAACTCCCAGAATTACTTTCTCTATGACTTTTGATTCCTGGACCCATGCAATACCAGTAAAAACAAGCATACAAAGTCTTATCTTCTGGTAAGAGTTGAGAAGTATTTTCAAGAAAAAGTTATTGCAATCTTATTGCAAACCTCAGCGATCTGATTATACATTATCGAGAGGCAATGGAAAACTTTAATAGGAAAGATGCATAGTGTCAATTTCTGACTCTTTGCCAAATAAATTGAAAGGAAAAATCGATGTAAAAATCTGAAAAGGATTTAATTTGAATGTGCAATTAGCCACAGATTGCAGCTCTAAGATGTTTCTGTGCTTAAAAGCAAAGCTTATATTAATATTTTGAGCCTGGTGAATATTGTATGTATTATATAATACAAAAAAACCAACATCAGAGTCACACATTAGAAGTAAAATGAAAAATCAGATGCCTTTTAAGACAAAAATATTGGTGTAAAACTATGATATTTGATTATGAATAATAGACCAGATGTTTTGGAAAAGGAATGCATGAATTTTTACATATGCCCAGATAACTGCAATTAGCCACCGTTTCTCCCAGGTTTCGGGAGTTCATGTGTCTTTGTTAGCATAAGAAATATGTTTGATTTCTTAATAAAGCATAGCCGGTGGCTTGGGTTTATGTAAGGATAAAAATATGATCCAGAAATATTTATGAAAATGTTATGTATTGCTTTGTTTCTCATAGAGAAAATGCTCAAGATAGAATATTTCTTCCTGTTTCTTTGGTAAACCTTGAAGAATATTAAGCTGTGAATGGTTAGAAAAGCAGAAATTCAGAGGCTATTAGGCTGTGTGACTTTTATACGTAGTGAGTCTTAGGAATTTCATGAATCAGATGAAGACTTTTGGAAAATCAGCTTTGAGACTCAAAATTTTGAAATGCCAATCACTGTTGCTAGGACAAACTTTAGACCTTGAAAGGCAACACGTGTGGACTTAGCACTGGCAGTCTTGTGACTGTGTAGTGTAAGCCTAATTTGGGGCTTGTTAGCTTATAGTGGATGCCTTTCTTAACCCAACATGAGCATTCAGTCATGGCCATCTTTTTAATGGCTTTTGATTTATTTCTGTCTCGACCTTTCTCTATAAAGCTCCATATTTTGGAAGAACTTGTTTTTCTGCAAAATCTAACTTTGGTTCTGGGAGTTTCATTTCCATGTTGGAAGTATGAAGTCACCCACTCAACATCTGACCATTTCCTTCCCATTCTATCCCATTACCTTACTCGTTCCCAATCTCTCCCAAGTGAACATCTCTCTGCACCCCAAGACCCCCAGACAAGTACCTCGTGACAGCTCCTGGTTCTCTGCCCGGAAGGTGCGCTGGTAGACGGGCATGGAGCAGGCATTGCTCTGTACAGGGCAATCCTGTTTACAGGATCTGTAGAGAATGCAGAGCTCAGGGATGATATACACCAGCAGGAAAACCCAAGCATTGGTGACCAGGGCGATGCAGACGACCGCATCGTCCCAGTGCGGCTGGCGATGGAGCTGCGGGTTGCCTCTCATGAGCATGGAGATCCACACCACCCAGATGATGATGGAGATGAGCACCGTGACGAAGATGAGCCTGCCATGCTGCTTCCAGTTCTGACACGGACCACACAGGGCGGCTTTGGAGACGAAGAACGTGAGGGCCATCAGCAGGAGAACATAGACCAGGAGGACCACAAAGTCCACGTTCAGCTGGTAGGGTGTCATGTGCACGAACATCATGCCTCTGGTCATGATGAGTGTCACATATTCGATGGCGATAATCGTCTGCAACAGGCTGGCCCCGATAGCAATGCACAGGATTGTCATCCAAGAGAAGGAGCATCCACCCCGGACCAGCTTCGCTAGGTTGGAGGCATGAGCCAACAGGCACGAGAAGCAGAGAGCAAAGAGAACCCCAAAGAGAAAGTAGCGGACGGGCGCAGTTTGCTGATTGAACTGGATGATGAAGGCAAAGGTGAGTCCGAAGAGCCCCAGCACCCCCAGGAGGAAGAGGAACTGGGTGGGGAGAACATTCCAATGGCTGCAGTCCTGGACCTTTCGCATGAGAAAAAGAAATGCCAAGAGGAGCAAAATGGTAACTACTATGCCAATGGCAGCCAGGGACTCCAGAACAATGCCCCAGGCCCCCTCGGTGTCACAGAGGAGATAGTAGTCTCCAGTGGACTCAATGCAGTCCTCATACATGGTGACTTCTAAGTGGACCTCACAAGAATGGTCTTCTGATGCCCTGCAGAAAGAAAAAGATGAGACAAACTGAAGACTTTACAGGAACCCACACGAGAAACACCTGCTGGGTCAGCCTAGGCAGGGCTAGGAAAAGCAGAAATGGTTTTACTTGGTGGCTCTTATTCATTTTATGTCACAGTCTCCATAGCCTTTGAAGACTACTACAAAATCTTTTCTATAAAATAAATGTATCACAACTTTATGAAGAAGGCACAAGCTATAGCAGGCTCCAGAACAAGGGTTTCCAACATTAGCGGGTTATTTGATTATTCTAGGTAATGATGCATTGCTTGAACGAGGCAGATGTTTTTCCCAAACAAATTTTAATGACTGATTTTTGCTTTCCAAATCAAATTAATCCAATTGCAACAGATTATTAATAAACACGTGCGGTTTGTTCACATCAAAGAATTATAAAAACAAAACATCTCCTTTCAAACTTCTTGGTTTAGCCCCAAAGTCCATGTCTTGATTTTTGTGGCTCAGGAAAAGAAAAAGTCCCACAAATTTATTTGGGGAAAAATATCTTGGAATTGAATAACTTTAGCCCTGCTGACTTGAATGATTCCCCAAACAAGACTCCAGCTATCTAGAGAGATGTTGGCTCCCAGTTGAGAGGGTGTCCCCTCCATTCCAACTCACCTTCTCTGTGGCCACTCCGGGAGCTGAGGCTGGACGTGGCGAGGTTGTAACTGCAAGTGAGTAAGAAGGAGACAGCCTCAGCTTCTTTAATCTCTCTGCAAATGGGCGGAAGGACTGCAGGCCCTCACTCAGGTTCCTCAGTGCCTATAAAAAGAACCGGAAGGACAGAAAGACACACCTATTCCAGTTGCACAGCAACTTTCCTGCAGAGATGGCTCTGGGAATCATTTATTTTATCTTACTGCTGACCAGGGGCCCTTGGCCTTTGGGTGGTCCTGCAGGAGAGATGAATTGAGAAAAGACCGTGCCCTCCCGAAATATTCCAGTGGACTTAAGATCCCATATAAGCCCTCAGTTGGCCAGACACAGGGAATCCAGAAACTTCCCCACATCTTGGTCCTAGTTGGAAGAATTAAGAAACATTTCTTCATCATGCTAATAGGAGTTTTTCTGGGCCATAAGACAGAGTGGTTTTGCCTATACTGATGGGAAATTGACCAATGGCTGTGAACGTTATAAATTGGGTGAAATTTATCTCCTTTTTCCATGAATCTCTTTTCCTCTCTTATGGGAACCCTTCCTCAGGCCCTGGCTATTCATCAGAGGTGGGCCCCTACCAGTGTCATCTATTCCTATCCAAGTCTGGCTAAATTTTCCCCCTAGCCTCTGGTCCCACTAGGATGTGCTTGTTCTGGGTTTCATTGGACTGTGCCTGGGCTCTGAAATAAAAGAACTCAGCTGATCTGGAATGTGCCCTCCTACACACGGGCCATCCCTAATTTCTTCCAGAAATTGCCTTCCCACAAAGGTCTGAAGACCCTGGATCTGTGCTTGCTGCATCTGGTTTCCTTAAGCTCTTTTCCCAGTCAACTTTCCTTCTTTCTTTGGGCACACAGTCTAGTCAGGTTGCTTTAATGCCCAGAGAAATAACTTGTCCCCAGCTCACCTTGCTTAGATGTTGTTGCTGTTTTATTCCCACGGATTCAATTGTTAATCCAAGCACTTTCTTTCCTCTAAGATCTGGTTCATCTCACTGTTTCTGTGCACGACCCTGTCTACCTTGCTGACTCTAGCTCTCTTCTATTGCCTTCTTCCTCGGACTCCACAAGACTCAAGATCTGTAGGGTGGAAAAGCATGGAATTCAATGTGCCTGGAAGGGCAGTGGAGGGTGGCCCAAGTTCTTGGGCTTTTGTCACCGTATTGGAGACCCAGATGGAGTTCCTGGCTTTGACTTGACCCAGCACTGTCTGTTGGAGCCATTTGGGAAGTGAATTAAGTTGATGGAAAATTCTTGCTTACACTTGTTTGTAACTGCTATTCAGATTAACAAATAAGTCTTTAAAACAGCAAAGTTGATCATTTAAAAAGAAACATATTACTAATAGAAATAGATGAATATTCAGTTAACAATGTATTCATTTATTTTATGTTGATTAATCTCACCTTTTGATTAGATTTGTAGTGACCTAGTTTTGGGGGATGGCGAGGCAATTTCTGCCTTTTGTTTTTCCAGAGTTCCTGGTCCTGAGTGGAATGCCTCTTGGGTGATGAATGGTTGGATTCACTGAATGGTTTTTATGATAAATTCCAGTCTTTTCTGAAGCTACATTTTAATGCTATGGATTCCTCCCCTAGATGCTTCTAAGTGGGAGCCTCCTGCAAATCAGACAGAATCTCCAGGGATCCATCCTGCAGTGGAATTCTGTCTGTAGAGAGTCCTTCACTTTACTAGCCATTTCTCCATGGACTTGGACACATCCTTGGGACGAGAGTTCTCCCCTCTGCTTGCTTTGGGCATAACGGTTGTCTGCACTTGCAGAGGCTGATGTTTAAGCGTGAAGGGATTTCTCAGCTGATGCAATGTGATGTCTGTGCACATTCACACAGCGAGCCCAGTGAATGGTTACATTGCTGTTGCTAAAATAGCAAGTGGGATTTCCAGTTGATTCCTCAAAGAGAACTATTGGGACAACCCCCTCACCTCCTACCTCCTCCTGCTGCTTAGTCAGGGTCACCCTTTTTGGCTATGATGTTTTTGGAGTGCCTGTCTTCTAAGGAGCTTCCTCCTGACCGCCCATGGCTTGAGGCAGGTGAATTAATAGGTTAATGACCACCAAGTCCTTTGAGCACCTTAGATAAAAGGACCCATCTCGGGTATTAATTATTGCTATTTTAAATCTAATGTGGTAGAATTAACCCATTTGCTGGGATCCTTAAGAGCAGGGGGGCCCATTTTGCCCACACACATCCAGTTTACTCACCCCTCATTTCTTCCAGCTTTTATACGGCAACAAATGGCTTTGATGACCCCAAATAGCTTGAATACCACAAGTCCATTAAAAACAGGGATGAAACAGGCAAGAAGCCAGACGCCTTTGGCCCAACACCTATTGGCGTTTGTTCCTTCTCACAGAAACGGAGCTGCAGGGGACCTTGAAGGTCACGCAGCCCCGGCATCACCCTTTCATTAGCAGTGAGGAAGTCTATGTTATAACTTGAGGAATTGAGTCATAAGGAAGCAGAGCCATGCACCCAGGGGTGGCATGCTAGAAAGAGTTGGGACTGTCTGACTGCTGGCCACATCCTTGCAGCTACTCCAGCCTGCCTTTCCTCATACTCTCGTGTCGCATCACAAGGACAGGCCCTTAGATGTGAGCTCAGAGCATGAGAATGGCTAAGATGCTCTTCATCCTGCAGCTATTAGGATGACCCAGTGAGAACAGTTGGGACAAGGAAGGCTTGCACTGGCCAGGAATGGCGGTTCTCTTGCTACCTGGCATTTCCAGGGCTGGCTTTAAATGGGTGTAACCAGTTTAGTGGTACAGGGCTCCCCACTCAGACAGGCTTGCACTTTGAGGCCCCAGGGTCACCGTGTTCTAAGTGCAATGGGATGGGACAGTGTAGCACTCGCTGGAGCTTGGAACTTCATGTACACTCCATCCTCCACCCAGCTTCCTGAGACGGCTTCTCAACCTCCTCCTCTCTGCTACTCCTTGCTGTCCTGTGTCTCCTGTCCTTCCCATCGCTTGAGTTTCTGAACCTGTTACGGCCACCTGTTCCTCCCAAGTCCACCAGTCTGTTCTAGGTTGAGCTAGTGGATCTTTGGAAAGGGGAAGCCCCACCTGTTCATTTGATATTAGACTTCAGAAGTTATGTACCTGGCCTTGGGTATCTCATGCAATTTTCTGGTAGATGACATGATTTGATGTTAAAGGTAACCACTATACAGCTTCGTTATGTTAATAGAATCTGGAGTTCACCATGAGCTTTCATAGCAGTTGACTATCAAAGCAGCAAATTGTAAACATTCTTGACTGAGTGACATTTATTACACTGGTTGTTGTTGTATATTTTCACTTAGATTGTGACTATTAAAACATTTGATTGAGCCTAGTGTGATAGGGTAATGGTTAAAAGTTCTCGCCTTGCAAGCGCCGGGATCCCATATGGTCGCTGGTTCTAATCCCAGCAGCTCTGCTTCCCAACCAGCTCCCTGCTTGTGGCCTGGGAAAGCAGTCAAGGGCAGCCCAAAGCCTTGGGCCCCTGTACCCATGTGGGAGATCTGGAAGAAGCTCCTGGCTCCTGGCTTCAAATTGGCTTAGCTACAGCCATTGTGGCCACTTGGGGAGTGAACCAGTGGACGGAAGATCTTCCTCTCTGTCTCTCCTCCTCTCTGTATATTTGACTTTGCAATAAAATAATAGATCTTTCAAAAACACATTTGACTGAGCTGATACACTTTTCCTTTTATTGAATTATTGGGGAAAGCTAGATGGCATGAAGACTACAGAGCAGTGAGGCTACTTTGAAGAGCTCAAGCAAAGTAGAGTTAAAAGTTGAATTTGGAGCCAGCATTGTCTTGTAATAGATTAAGCTACCACATTCAACACTGGCATCCCACATGGATGCTAGTTTGAGTCCTGACTGCTCTACTCGCTGTTGGTACTCCTGGAAAAGCAGTGAAGGATAGCCCAAGTACGTGGGCCCTTGCTACCCACTCAGCAGACCCGAATGGAACTCTGGGTCCATGCCTCAGCTTGGCTGTTGCAGTCATTCTGTAACTAGCAGATGAAGGTAGAGCCTTCTCTTTCAGATAAGCAAAAATGTTTAAAAAGCTAAATTTATTTTGGTGTAAAGGATTGTAATCCATGCATATCAGTTGTCTTCAAAATATTCATAGAAACTAAATGTGGATTTCAAATCTTTTGTGTCAAGAAAACGCCCTTAATTTTCTACACATTTTGAAATACTCTTGTATGTTCTAGTTAAACCTCTATATGTAGAAGTACATCTCTAACACTATTGAGAAAAATGT